TCTGTCTCTCTCTCTCTCTCTCTCTCTCTCTCTCTCTCTCTCTCTCTCTCTCTGTCTCTCTCTCTCTCTCTCTCTCTGTTTTCCTTCTCTGTCGACGGTCGCGTTCCGATTCTTACAGTCTTACGACAAATTGCTTGTTTTGGCCGTTCTCAGGCAGCCGACCCGTTTGCACTCGCACTCGCTCTGCCGCGAGTTTTCTCGCGTCGCGTTTCCGCCGCCAACTTCAGGTTCCCACGCTTTCGGCGCGCCAGCCACGGGGAGAGAACGCAGCCGCGGCCTCCGTTATCGCGGCCACTGCCTCTCACGAGAGCAAGGTGACGTCTTCGTCCTCGTCGAGGCAAGCGTGCGCCCACGCATAACCTCTCGGCGCGAGAGATCCATCACGGGAAAGATCGGAGCGACGGTGATTCGTCGCGAACGCGCGCCGAAGGGCGCCTCGATGTCCGGCGCAGCGGCGACGCTGATAAGGCCGTTGACTCGTGTTCGGCCGCGAAATTCCGCGATACCGCCAGGGCCGTAAAAGAGACCACCGGTCTGTGGACGACTCGCGCGCGCTCTTCACGTCCGCCACGTTTGTCGTTCGCGAGTGCTCCGACCGCTCTGAAGTCCTCTCCGAAAGAATATCGCGCGACTATCGCAGCGAATCGTGAACGTAAGAATACCTAGACGGAGCGCAAGGTACATACAGATAATAGCATATCCATTCCCTAACCATACATGTCCTAATTAAGAGTTACTAAAAATAATCGACCTAACGCATTCGTTTCTTTATAGTTGAGGGTTGTGACTGTTGATTATTCGAAAAAACTGCAATGATGTTAAGCACCTGGGACACTTGGGCATGTATTATAGAACTTTTTAGAACCCATTCCGATTGGAATAATTTTGTTTTCCCTAAAGAAGAGAATAGAAATCTAGAATAATGAAATTATTCTGATCGAAATCGATTCCGAAGAGTTTTATTTGCCTTTATAATTGCGGTTATCCGTTCACGTGTTATATCACACTAACGACTCGCGACTGCGGCTGCGGCTGCGGCTGCGATTATGTCTCTTGACCAATGATAAAAGCGGTAGCAGCTAGCAGCCTCTTTCTGACGCGAGTGTGATACGGCTATTACGCGTAGTCGCGACATTATTAGTGGTGACATAATCATAAAATATGAATAACGATGAAAGCACTATGGTCGCTATTTTAGAACTCCTGAAAAGATACAATTTAAAGGTAAATACTGCAATAATCTTCGCATTCAAGAAGCGGCATATCCTGTTTAAAAAATATAATAAATAGGCTTCTACGTAATAAATAATAATAATTAGTTCTAGGTTACCTCGCTGGATAAATTTAAAAGATAAAACTACCCAGGTAAAACTTTGCGGGTCTGCTATTTATTAACTTTTTTTATAAACGAATGAAGTCTGGCATTTTGATGGAAAAATAATTTTTTTTAAATCGATTGACTTTTATGAAAGTTATAACGAAATATATGAGGTAGGGCAGTTATTATCTAAGTATGGCAGGCCCATGATTTTTTGAAAGAGTGGTATCCTAAGGTTAACAGCCACGATTCTTGATTATCTAGAAACGAATACTTTAGGTCGAAAATTTTTAGTAACTCGAGTAGGACACACACATACACATAGAGAATGGCTAAGCATATATGTAATCCTGTATACATGCACACGGCGTCATGGATGCCTGAACATTTATTAGATCGAGGGTTATACGATTTTCAACCTTACATATAATACTTGAGATTGAAAATCGCATAAGTAACTCTGATTGTAATGACAGACGTAATGATAGGTTATAATGGCGTTAATTATAACGATTTCAATCTTATTCCTACACGCATAAAATTCTGTAACTCTTGATCTAGAGAATGTTCAGGCATCCATGACGTCGTGTGTATAGACGACGTAATAAATGCCATAATATTTGCTATATTATTAGATAGATTCTGGAACAAACACGTTAGTTTCTAGAAATACGTGTACCATGATTATAGATTATCCGAAGAAACGGTCTAACTCCAATTTTTCATGAAATTGAGATATTCATTTCATCCGACTTGTTTTAACATTTTGCATCGAAAAAGCTTTCTCAATTTGTCAAGAATTGGAGTTAAGAGGTTTTCTAATTTGGTAAACCATAAACCGCTCGAGCTGACAGAAACCCACCCTTAGAATTTTTACCATTTCCTCGGATAATCTATAGTTATAATATTTCTAGAAACAAATGAGTCTGCTCTAAAATATCTCGTAACTCTCGATTTAGTAAATGTTAAGGCATCCATGACTCTGTCTGTACATTTCGATCTACAATAAGTATAGTAAGCTTTAAGCCGTAAAAAATTGACCAATTACAGTCGATTATTCTTCTATAATTCTCGTCAGTTTCTTACGACTTAAAACTTACTATACTTATTATAGATCGGGAATACTCCTACAGGATATGAAGCTTCAAGGGTTAGGGAAAATGTCCATCACGGCCATCTTGTTTCATCAAAATTAACACATATATATATATATATATATATATATATATATATATATATATATATATATTCGAGATTATGCATTCTGAAAACAAAAATATCTGCAGTAAAGTGTTCCAATTTCTTTTACAATATACTTGATTGTTACACGGAAGGCCGTAAGAAAAATCGCAAAACGAAAACAATAAGATTTAATTAGAATGAAGACCATGCTGGCCATCTTGGTTGATCATATCCATTAGAATCTCCTTTTTTGTTTAAGCTTCAACTTCTCGAAAATATACTCCGTCTAGAGTATCGATCATATATCCTTTTTTCTAGCGTGAGCTCGTGAAAAGTGAAAAGATTCACGTAAAACTTTTTCAATTTTCACGTTTCCGCTCTTAGGAAAAATTTATATGATTGTTACCCAGATCGACATTCCTACGTTTATATGGCCGATATATTCATGCGCGGCGCGACTATAAAGCCTGATCTACAATATGCTCTTTGTTTCTTGCTTCTTTCTCTTTATCTCTTTCTGACCCAAATCTTAAGCTTTAAGCCAGAAAAAGATAGAAGACAAGAAACAGAACGCAAAGAGCATATTGTAGATCAGGCTTGACTTCAGAGGGCGCTCAACGGAGCGATAGACTCAAATCCGATCGCACGTAACTTGTTTTCGTCGTGTTTCGGTGTTTTATCTCGAGATAAAATCTTAAATCGCTCGATGCAGATGCAACGCGGCCATGAATAACGCGTGTCGTCGTCTCGGCAAGTTAGTAGTCGTGAACAGTCTCGACGACACTCACGATGAGCCGCAAAACGTGATCCTCTCTGGAGCACACAGAAAAACACAAATTGCATTCAGGTAAGCTTGAGTACTTGTATCGAGTATTTCATAAAGTATTCACTTCAAGTATTTCATAAGTTTATATATTCACGAGTCTATCACAAGTTTACTACCATAAGTTATTTGGAAGAATGTACTTTATATGATTCAACGGAGAATAATCTGTGTTCTTATTATTCAAAACTAATCTTAATGGAAAGTACAAAATATTAGATTGAGATTACGATGTTTTGTAATGTCGGGAGAAGTTATCATTACCATCAAAATAATTATATTGCACTTTTCTTATGAGGCTATTCTATAATATTATAACATTGTTGAAGTTCAGAACTTTAAAATTCTTCTGACAAAATTATATATCGTTATTTATATGATTATTATTAATTTCAATATATTAATTATATAATTATATTATTAATTCTTTTGAGTACATGATAATGAGTTCTTATAAAATTCATGATAAGCATAATTATTATTAAGAAAACATTCTTTGTTGAAGATAAGCATTACTTAAAAGGTGAAAAGTAAAGTAAGTAGTCGCTTTTCTTAGCAATAAAATGATATTTTCTTCTCTGTGTGTGAAAATGAACCCAGAGCTATTTCAGTTATAGCTGCGATTGTTACGAAGTCAGTTATGTGTATGTATGAGAACAATTTTTATCAAACAGCGTTGATTGCTGCAGCAACACGCGTGAAAATCACCGAAAATTCAACGAAATCTTCGACTATATGGCACACGAGTTGGCATAGTAGCAAAGAGACTTATTGCTCGTTTTCGTTCCGCTTTTTTTTTTATTATAAACAGTTATTATTATTATTTATGTTTGCACAAAGTATGCAAACACTTTTCTTGATAAGTTATATTATGCAATGATATTTACTTATAAATTTATATTTATAAATTACTTTCGTATAGCTTGTATTTAAGAACTTGACAGTTCTCAACTTTCACATCCTCAATGTTCAAACTCACGCACAGAAATTCACAGGCTCGCTAAATTCTCATGTCGGTAAATTTGTCCAAATAAAACTGCCACAAGCTTTGTGCAAACACTTATGCACACTTACGTATACACACTTTCATATACACACTTCCAGTGTGTGCGAAATTATGAGCGCATTTGTTTGTTAAATCTATTCGTAGAGGCAGAGGAGTCCGTTTATCTTTTTACGTATTATCGAGACTTCAGAAACAGTCTCACTGAGTTTTATTACCTCGATTTACGTTTCCTGGTAATAACTCTGACTCAACCGTCCATTTACATGTTTACACACGCACGCACGCACGCACGCACACACGCACGCACGCACGCAAGCACACACGCACACACACATATATATATACTTATTTGTTTATAATATATACCGATATGGGACACAGAAGTAGAGTGTTGCGTGCTACAAATATAGCACATAGAAAAAAATAGTATTCACTTATAACTTATTTACTCAGATTAACAATCATTGCTTCACATATAAATAACAACATGTAATTTTATTAAATGAATCTTAAAGTCTTGAATTTTAACAATGTTATAATTTTATTTAGATATTATAATAGTCTCTTTCTCCCCTCCTCTCTCTCTTCCTCCTTCTTCCTCTCCCTCTCCGTCTCTCATGAGAAGTACAACTTGATTATTTTGATGATAACAATATCTTCCCCCTGATATTTGAAAACCATATTTTCAATCCAAGTTTTGTGCTTTCCACCCTTACGAACATTATACTTTTGAGCAACAACAAGAATATACATTTCTTTGTTAATTCAAATAAAATGTATTGATGCCAATAACTTATCTTTGTTTGACGCTATGTAATTTCAAGATTTACACAGATAAAAAATAAAGATATTTTCGAGACAGAGATGTTCTCCTCTTCTGCGTAAATATTTCTTAAGAGGCATTAAATAACAAGGAGGAGATTCGGCTGTCGAAGAGACGAGAGCTAGCGCTGGTGAAACTTACTGTTAAGCGGAATTACGCGTGAATGTGCCGGTGTGAATGAATCACAGGCTTGGGTCACAAGTTTGGAACGTGCATCAATACGAATGCGCAATAGCTCGCTCGCTCGTTCACAACGACGGCCGGCAGTTCGCACGGATCGCGATAAAGCCGAGCGTTCTTGACACATCACGTGTCGATAATAGTACGCGGAACGATACTGCATCTGAAAATAGTTCCGGCGATTCGCGCGCGCGCACACAGCGCGCGCAACCGCCAAAACAAAAACAAACTTTCCCGCTCAAGGAGAGGCTTGCGTCGCGATAGCTCTCGCGATATCGCTGTCAGTCATGTCGCTGGCTGCAATTTTTAGAAAAACTTATAGCGCTCTCTCGCAAGAAGTGACGAAGGATCGAGCAATAATCATCTTCGGGCGATCGCAGAGACTTTTCCCGAGAGCGCGTCTCCCGCACTGATCACTCGCACGCGCCGCAGCATTTATATCTCGTTTTTATTACTCATCGCCCCGTATCGTACGCGATTAGTTACACGTGCGAGGTGAAATTCCCAGAGGAATTTATCTCTCAAGTACATCTTGCATGACGGATACGGTAGATAACCGCTCGATGTCGCGAGGCTTAACGATCGCCCGCGAAATCGCAAGGTTGCCCAATCTCCTCGAGAAGATCCTCCTGGCAATAAGGAACAGTCTCGCTAATCCAGTACACCTTCTTGCAGAGCAAGTGACCACATGATCAGTGGACTGAGAAATTTATAATCACGCGAAATTGTTGTGCGTAACGCTCAGTAATTGGATTTCTGTGAGGAAGGAAGGTGACACTTCAAAAGTCGACGAGACTCTCGAGATAGATGTTTAAGAAAGGAAAATCGTACATACTTAAGAGAATTTTATGGCAAAAGTGACTATAAAATTGTGTAACCGAAGAACAAATGGACATTCTGCAGTAATCGACTTTCATTTCGTATATTTATATTTAATGATTTATTCAATAAACTATTTATATTTTAGGAACTGAAATATAAAATATTTATTTTTGGGGTGGCAATACTATAATTACTTATTATCTATTACTATAATTACTATATATATACATTACTTATTACTACAGTTATATATATATATATATATATATATATATATATTTATTTATTTATTTATTTGTTTATTTATTATATATTTATTTATATATTTATTTATATATCAATATACATATTTTTATACTCAGGAAAAATAAGAATTTTCGAATAAGAAGATATATGTATACATTTTCTTAAAACTTTAGCCTTTTATAAAAGCATAATTGTTTATTTAAATAGAATTTTATTTAAATAAAAGAATGCAAATTTCAATAAATATGTTAATATCTGCCGAATAAATATTTTTATTTCAGCATAGAAAGAGCAAAGTGTAACAAATATTTATTGTCCCTCTTAGCAAGATAGATCTTACTAAGTCTATTCCTGCACTACTAGAGAAACATAGTAAAACTGAAAACAATTCATATAAAACGATAAACTACTATAATTTTCTCTCCATGCACGAAAAATAATTGGTCATATTAAAGTAGCTGTGATACGCGTTTTGATTGAAGGAGATAGAATTTCTAGTTCACTCATGAATCAACTTCAGAATATATCGACAATAAAAGCCTATTTCAGATTAATGAAAAAAATGACAAGTTTTTGAAAAAAAATACGTAATGCAAGGGAAAAATGTTTATTTGTTCTTTTTCTGTTTTTATTTAACATCTTGCTTAGAAATATGAAATGCAGCGCGTTATAAATTTGAGTAATTTTTCTGGGAAATAACAAATCCGTCATTTCGACTACTCTCTGATAGTTTGGCAGAAATTTCACTTCCTCCGATTACACTGAAAAATTTAGTCGTGTCACTGCCGCGTTAATTCAACCAATCCTTTTTCTTGCTTCGATGATGGACCGAAATAAACACACAAATGTAACGAGTGCACGAATACCTGCGAGTAACGTCGAACCACCGAGGGTCAAGTGCTAGCCGCGAGCTTTATCGTCACGTAAAGGTCGTTCTACATTAGCAAGTCGATCGCAAGTAGACGCAATTCTTGTTGCGACAGCCAATCAGAAGCATCAATGGTGCTATTGACTCTTCTAATTGGCTGTCGCAATATGAGTTGCGATCAACTTGCAACTAATGTAGAACGACTCTTATGCACCTTGCATCTTGCCTTGCGCTCGAGAAAAAGAGAGAGAAAAAGAAAGAGAGGATGGAAGAGAGAGAGAGGGTGAGGCAAAAAGAGAAGGAGAGAAAAGGAAGAAAAAGGAGAAGGAGAAAAATATCGTCGTCGCTTTCCAGGTGAAAGTCTACACGATGAGGGGGGCGAAGCGGGGACTCGAGACGCTACTGATCGGAGCAGAATTCGTACAGTAGAGTGTGGTGGTGGTGGCTGAGCGAGGAAGGTGAGTTGTGATCGCTGGGGCGTGCGGTGGGGAGCGTGCAGCGGTTACCACGCTATGCGACACGTGCGCGTGACGTCACGGGGCCGGTCACGCGAGCACCGTGTGCTCCCGGTCACGTGTCCTGTCACGCGTTCGCCGTTCCATTCCTCCCTCCTTCTCCTCCTCCTCCTCCCTCTCTCTCTCTCTCTCTCTCGCTCGGCCTGCTGTGTGCCGGCCGGCGACAGCCCACGGCTCTCCTTTCTCGTCGCGACTACTCCTTTCGAACATGCACGTATACGTCGTCGCCTCTTTCGTGCGAGCCGATTACGCTCCAAGTGCATGTTCTTCCTCCCTTCGCCTCTCTCTCTCTCTTTCTCTCTCTCTCTCTCTCTCTCTCTCTCTCTCTTTGCACCATCACCGGAGCCTTCACCCCGCCACCCGCTTCCTCTCTTGTAATATGCCTTAAGGTCGCGCTTTATGATTATCTTTCGACTTTAGCGTTTACGTTTTATGCGTTTTACGATTATCTTCTGACCTTTAGAGTCTTAATCGCGGCCGGGCAGGATTTTGCGAGCGGAGCTAGCGTATATTTATATGTTCTTCCACTTGAGACTTTATAAATAAAGATAACCTTTCCCCCCTCCTCTGTGTGTGCGTGTGTATGTGCGCGCGCGCGCGCGCGGGCGTTTGTGCGTCGTGTTTTGTGTTTCAAGCGGCTAATTAAAATTCCGCATTAATAAAGTAGCACGATAAGCGCGGGTATTATTTATATTAATTTGCTCGCGGCATAGCGCATCTAAATTTGCCGTGGCTCGTAAAATTGTTCGGTACAAACAATAATAGATATTTAAAGTGTGCGCGACGCAAATATAAATGAATAATTTATATAGTTTTGAGATAACGCAGGACCTCTACCTATACGTAACGCGTGACTTGTTTGGCTCATATGCAAATCTTAGTTCACGCAGATAATCCTGCGACCTGAGTTGTTTGTCGGCAATATGTTGCTCTCTTATCGTAGACTCGTGGCCTCCTCTTCTTCACTCTGCATACATTGTTTAAAATTACGTACGTTGCGTCATTCTTAGCCGCTCCATATTTCTACGCGCGTTACCTCTCGTCGTTATCCGAAGAGCGTCCCTCTCGACATCGTTGTTCTCGCGTGTCTACCACCGCGACTCTCGAGAGTGAATCTCGTCGTGAAACGATCCCTAAATAGACCTTCATGATTATTACGACGTCAGACAATCGCTGATGGAAACTTTTTCAATTACATTTATGAAGCAACATATTGAATTAATCGTTAAATTTACATCACGCAATGACGTATGTTTTTCATTATATTTATGCGACGAATTTTTATTAAAGATTGGACTCAGATTTTCATCTTGCGTATTGTATCGAGTAAATTTTCTTGTATTTTTTTCTCGTATTTATACTTTATTGTTCTACACTAAATAAAAAATAGTTGAGAATTTATTTGTGGAATAAAAGCATATTTCACAGAAATAAACTTCGTATTCGACAAAGAAATTTTTCAATATTTCTTCTTCAATATATGTGAGTATCATATGAATCACTAACATGATACAACCTTTACAAATCGACTAACAAAGCTGCCAAATTTACGTGAGAGAGACATAAATACAACTGTTTATCTAAGCTGCGAGGGAAAAAAATTTCGATAAAAAAAAGAAAGATTTTTTAAATGTTCAGCACAAAGATTACGACACTTATTCGGACAGATTTGTACAAGACAATGATATTTATGCTTCTGCGCGTATAAATTGCTTATATGCATCTCATATTTAAGAATTCGACAGCTTTCAAAGCTCTCAATGCTCGAGCTAGTGTCTACCATTAGTCGACGAAAATTTCAGTTGACTAAAGTAATCGGCAAACCAACCATTAAAATTAAACAGTTGTCATACATTATGTAATCACGAACAATTCCATCGACTGGTGAAATTAATTATTAATCGAGCGCATACACTTGATTGATTGAATATACACTGATTAATAATTAATTTCATCGATCGCGATTAAATTATTCGTGATTACACACATGTGGTAACTCAAGGCTCAAATCCCCACAGAGACTCGCGCAGTCTCGTGAAATTCGCGTGTTCATAAACCTGTGCGAAAGAGGAAGTGTCGCAAGCTTAATGCGGACAACTGTAACGCTAGGATTTTCCAATGCATATATATACAGGACGTCTCAGACTCTCTTCCGCAATTTTTGTGAAAACGTAAAACAGATTGAGGTGAACATAAAAGCCCTATACCATTTTGGGGTCATTCGCAATAATAACTAAGATAAGATTAATTAAAGAAGTTTGGTGAATGATGACGCGCAATATGGTAAATGAGCTGAAGTGACTATGTGTGCTGTGCATCAGATCAAATTGAACAAAAAAATCTTTTATCAATTTGCAAATAATCACGTAGATTTTTAGTTATTAATGGAAGAAAATTGTCACAAGATTATACGCAATAGTGCACAAATTTTTTTTAATTAATATGTAAAAATCTATGTGGTTACATTTGCAAAATGGTAGGAGACTTTTTTATTCAGTTTAATTTAATATATAAGTATACAACATTAGAAGGCGTCACTACAACTCATCTATCATATCACACATGATTATTCACCGATCTCCTTTAAGGACTGAAGGGTCAGGTTGCCTGAAAATCATGCTTGTTTTTTCACAATTTTTTATGATAAGTGTGAACCACTAGAAATTGAGTAACAAAATTGCAAATATTTCAATGGAATATTATTAAATTTTCCGTTCTTTTATAGTAAAAAAATTAATATCAAAATTAAATATTTTCATGGGTTTGTCAGTGGTTCACATGATAACAACAAGCTTATGGAAATTTTATACCTAAAATTCAACTTAATTGAACCACCGAAAGTCAAGATATTACTGCAAAATGTCGACTTTGAAAAGAAAAACGAAATATATTTTAACTGCATATATCATATAGACTTATATTTGATCATCAAAATTATATTTTTCTTCTCTTTATATGTTATATAAATACACGTCAAAATAACACTTTCGCATATTCATTCAGTTTGTCATAAAAATTTGTGAAAAAACAAGCACGATTTTCAGGCAATCTGACCCTCCAGTCCCTTTAATTGATATCTGGAGATTTATTGTGAATATAGCAAAACGGTATGGAACTTTTATGTTCATTCAATCCGTTCTACGTTTCTACAAAAATTGCGAAGAGACACCCTGTATATGAGGCAGGATGACGTCGAGCGCTGCGAGCATCTTACATTATAACGTAACAAGCGCTCTTTGTGAAAGAACGATTGATCGCGGATATAAATACAGTGTGCTCTCTAAGTTTGCGCGTAGCACGTGCGTCCCGCCCACGCGGGCGTTATTTCCACAACGTGAGAAGTTCAATTAGAATGAAAAAAGGGGACGAGCGCTCACGGCGCGTGTCCTACGGACGCGAGAGCGGCCGGCTCTCTCCGATCGGTCGGCTCGACGGGGCGAGGGATGAGGGAGGGGGAGGGAGAAGGGACGCGTGGGATTTTCAGGTTCAAGTACGGAGGCGAGAGTGCATCTTGGGAACGCGAGGACCTATCGGACGTTCCTTCGCGCGGGAGTCGAAATACCAGGACGAGAAGGGAACGTCGTCGTGACGAGCGTGCGCTATAATTATCATGCCACGCGCGAGGGAATGTTCTAATTTGCCAAGGACAAACGAACGAACGAACGGCTCTGCGGGACGGGACTTTTCAGGCGATAAATCAACGGAGGCCGGGCCTCTCGCCGATATGCAGTCCGTGGCGCTTTCCAAAGGATCGTTTGTGACGAATTTCGCACTCGTTGAGGAACGATTTGTAAATGATAGTAAAAGTAGAAGAGCGAGGGAGAACACAAATCTGTGATTCACGAAGTTAGTTATTAATTAGATAACATTAATATCACAAACGACCATTCGCCAATCTTCTTTAATTAATAATAAAGAATTTACAAAGTTATTAAGAAAATAGTAGAAGACTTTTTTGTTCAGTTTAACACGTAATGTATAAGACACGATGACAAACGTCGCTATTAGTTCATCTACCATATCTCGCCTGATCATTCACAAATCTTCTTTAATTAATATTTTGATAATTATTGTAAATATTACAAAACAGTATAGGATTTTTATGTTTACCTTTTATGTTCAATCCGTACTATGCTTCCAGAAAGAGTTTTAAAGATTGTTCTAGGACACCTTATATATGTATATATTTGCTATAAATACGTAAAAAAATATGAATGTAAGTGCCCACCGCAGCAGTTGATAACTTGCTTGTATCGACAGTTTAAGTCAGCATTAATCGATTAAAATTTTCTTTTACTAAGATCGGCAAATTAATAATAAAAATTATATATAATCAATCGTCATATATAATATCATAAATAATTTCATTGATCGATAAAATTAATTATTAAGTAAACTTATAATGTGATTAGTTATATATATTGATCAAAAATTAATTTCATCGGTCGATTATATTATTCGTGATTACACATACATGACGGTTGATTAATTCTTATTATTGATTTGTCTATTATTTTGATCAAAGAAAATTGATGAATGCATAGTATTGATATAAATCGAAGAAATTTCTCAGTTCATAACACTCAAAATTGTGAATTTTATACGAATTATTATGCGTGTAACTTTATTATTTTATCATTTTCCTTTCAATGGCTATATTCAGACGCGATGTATATGCATCGCTAACACGTCCTCCACCAGCGTCCCACATGTGTGACAGCGATAATTTTCCTTTCTATGCCACATAAACAAAGTCAGACTGTTTTACACAATTAAAAATAAAAATATAGGGTGATCTGTGGGAAAAGATACTCTAAATAAACCGTAATAGTGAACATGTTAGGAAACAAGGAACATCATTTTCCAGACCAGAAATTACATATATGGTCTGTTCTTACTTTGCATGTTCTGAATATAATTTTACTGTCGTTATATTGAACTCGCAATAAGAGAACACTCCGTTCTCGACACACAGAAAACTAACATTCTACTAAGAAAAGCAATTACTCAGTTTACTTTCCTTCTTCCAAGTGATAATTATTTTCAAGGAATATTTTCTTAAAATATATTCATGGAAAATTTTAGAAAAGTGCTAACACTTCCAAAGAGTCTATTAATAAAAGTTATGCTAACGAAATTAAGAAAACGACCATACTAATATTATCTAAAAGATTATAAGTGAAATCCAGAAAGAATCAAAACTAACTGTGAAGCTACTTATATATAATTAGAGAAAATAAAATCTCAACTGAATGTTAGCCTCATTAGAAAGGTTAATTTATTAGTAAAGTTATACTAATTAAATAACGATAATTAAGTAATGATTGTAAATTAAGTAATAATTATATGCTCGAAAAACGACTACACAAATATAATCTAAAATGTTATAAATAAAAAGTCAAAGAGTTTCAAAGGCAACTGTTAAACCACCTTTTAGATAATAAAATTTCAACTGAGCGTTCGCCTCATGCGATGGCAATGAAAAGTTAATATAGAAAAATGCTAAACTGACTAGAATTCGAAGCGTATGTGGAATCAATTTGACGCTTGTGATGATGACTTACAATAGATTTACGGATATGTAAACTTGTGAAACACCTGAAACAAATAATGTTTACTTGAATACAGTATGTATTTTTCTATGTGCGGGATTCGCTTATCTCGATTAAGGTGTAATTTGACATTAGCGATTCAAGCCTTAACCAGTCAAACGTCGATGCTCGAAAATATCGCCGAAAGAATGACATCGTCGCGATTTAAAGGCATTCCGATATTTATTGCCGCGCATTCCTCTGCCTGCCATCAGCTTTAAAAAGCTACGCAGGTCGACGCAACCTGCACGAGCGGTCGCCGTTTAAGCAGCGCATAATTTCACTCCGGCGCATCGAGGATCTCGCCGACGGAGGAATTTAAATTGGCCCGTCTTGCAGCAGGATCCGGAACTGCGGGTTGAGGCAACTCTGGCTTGGCGAACGCGAATGCGAACGAGAAAAGCGCGAGGAGAGGCTGCGCCGCGTGCGTTGTGGGAATTATTTCGTTAGCGCGCGTGAACGGTCGCGCGATGAGCGCTCGCGTTTGAACGAAAAACGCTCGTCTCGCGCGACGATAAACGACAAAGGCGTTCTCAGGAGGTCGATTTCTATGAATTTCGCGAAAGCGCGCCGTCTCCAATGAGTATAAAGTGCTCGTCGCGCGTACGAAGACAATCTATTCTATTTGGCATCTGCTAAATAGAACTGTAAAGGCAAAATTATCGAGTTTCGAAGTTTCTATTATCTTAACATCTACTTCTTTTTATGAAGCTCTGTATCAATGTCATAATTAAATTTTTATTTAAATTTAATTAATAACAGGCATTTCGTGCGACTCATATAACAGTATTAACGTTCGTCAGCCGAATGAGAGCAATGGAGAGGGTTAATTTAGTATTAATATATCGAACCAGCTAAATAATCTTTTTACGGAAATAAAAAAATTTAAAGTCACGAATTAATACACTAGAAAAAGGTATTTTAACATGAATAAATCAAAATCTGGAGGATTTAGTTTAAACTTTTACCAGTGAAGTGATAAGAAGGATTTTACGCGAAATGGGGGAGCATCTCCTTCGTTTGTAAGTTTTTAAACTCCCCTCATTTCGCGTAAGATCCTCCTTATCACTTCATTGGTTGAGGTTTTAACTAAATTCTCCAGATTTTTATTTATTCGTGTAAAAAATATCTTTTTCTAGTGTATTAATTTAAAAATATGTTAAAAATATATTTTTCTAGTGTATTAATTTGTGATTTTAAATTTTTTATTTCTGTAAATAGATTATCTTATAGAAGGAGGAGGACGGGACGGCGTGCGTTCAGGACTTGTGTATCTTTTCGTTCCAGAGAAAGGAAAATATCGAAAGCGCAGTTTGCTAAGGCCGGGATTCGAAACCCGGGTCTTGTCGGGCGACTGCTCTAAACCACTGAGCTATCTGACGCTCCACACTCACGACACTCTCCTCTCCCTAGATAATGTTCAGAAATGCCGTTCGGAAGCGATATCTCCGGCGCTATCCCGAGCGCACGGCGACTGCAGAGAGAAACATTGTTATTTTATCAAATTTAATATTAAAAATATTAAATTAAAAGAAACAAAAGGATAGTTTGAAGAGTTAGGAAGTGATAGAAAAAAAATGGAACATATGAGATGATAAAGTTAATAATAATTTTTAAGAGAACAACATTCAACGCCGATCCGATACTTTCTCCAATTAGATATTCCTGTCTACTTCTCCTTTCCCAAACCGATAAATCAATAAATCGATAAATTGATAATCGATAAGTTCTTGCACTCAGAGAAAAAAATATCTAAAGAAGAAGAATATTTATTCGGTAATAGTGTTAATATATTTGCCTTAATTCAAATTATTAATTATTTTAAATCAAACATATCTTTAGGTAAGTAAGAGTTTAACGCAAGTGTTGGAGCGAGTATTTAAATCAAATGTTGGAAGGATAATAATGTTTGATAGTTTCGACACACGCGCGAAATAGGTTTTTCAATCTTCAAAATGTACGCGGAAAATTAACCTTCCACGTCAAACCGATTCTGAATCCCAATTTTTAATATTAATACAGTTAGCTCCTCTAATTAAACCGAAAATTAAACCGAAATTACCCATTTATTTGATTCCAAATTATAATTACGAAGAACATTGTCAAATATTATCCTTCCAATATTTGATTTAAATATTCTCTCAAACATCTGTTAAGCTTTTACTTGATATATGTTAAAGGTATGTTTGATTTAAATTGTGCACTTGGAGAGTATGTATATAAAGAATTTAAATTATTTTATTGAAATACAGAATAAAAACTGCTTTCATGAAAAGCTGCAAGATTAAGGAAATGTATATTTTCTCATTCAAGAGAAAATTTTCTTA